TTATGGGGAGCTAATTGCAGACTGAAGCAGAGGTTCTGGCTTGGCAAAGCGCGGGTCCACAGTCTGGGCGCTGATGTGTCTTTCTGCCTTCTCTTATGTGGATCAGCTTTATAAATGTCCAGGGCCAGGTTTTCCTGCTCAAACCTCCGTTTCTCTCCTGGTTGATCAAGTGACAACCTCCTCCAGTCAGTCAGAGTTTAAGGTTAGAGCCTCACCTTCCCGTCCTACTCAGCTGAGACACTCAGCTCTTGATTATAAATGAAATGTGTCTGAAATCTGCTCTGGGCAGACTCTGAGCGAAAGCACTAGGTATGAAAAGCTGGGAGACTGTCCCATACACCTGTCCTTCCAGCCCACTAAATTGGTTTCCTTTTCTAAAATTAATGTTTGCAAGTGCTAGGTTTTTCTCCTCAAAATCTACAAATTCAAGAATTACTTTGCTTTGCAAGAACTTCCTAAACTACAAACTATGTTAACAGTTTCCCTCCCTTTCTAATGCCTGCTAAATTTTCTTTTGATTGTCCCTTCCTTGCTGTTTCCTGTGTGTATTTCCTTCTCCCAGGCCTGCAGTCCATTTGGATTCCCTGCAATGCCTAGGGCGTGGCTGAGATTTAGCTGCTAATGGCCCAATATTAATTTTCATTCAACGGAATTCAACCGGTATCTGAGGGAGGGCAAATGGAGTTTTTGTTCATGAGATGGCTACACCTTTTGATTCAATTGTATATGCATCTGTTCCTTAAAAAGTATGTTTTATGACTCTTTTTTGTCTAAGCTTATGTTTGGGCCACTTTGGACCATGCCCATTACCAACAAGCAGAAGGAAAAAATAATTACTTCTGTGTGAAGACACTGTCTCCTCTCAGTTGGAAGGAAGGGTATCAGATGAGCTACTGGGAAAATTTTGTTGTGTTTCCTGGTCACTGTTTTGTAATCAGTCGGTGGCTTGATAACCATAATCTTCCTCACCGGGAAAGAAGGGTATGTGGGCTAGTTTCTGGCAATTTTCCTTAGCATAATTGAAATGAAGTAACAGTCAGGCCCATTTGTGTTTCTGCTGTATTCCCAGAATCCACAACAGAGCAGGGCACACTAAACATGCTCAGTAAGTACTTGTTGAATAGCTAATTGAATTTCTACTCTGATGAGAAATTCAATTTACACTAAAATTGCATTTGCAAGCAGGTCCAAGTTAATTTAAAAGCACTGACGTTCATTTTCCTTTGGCTACATTTCTCTTCAGTGAATTAATAGATTTAAAATGGTTACTACAAATGAATCTTAATTAAATATTTAAAGGTAACAAAATTCAAATCAGAAAGAAAGGACTCAAATTCGGACCCTGAGGATTAACTCTCAGCTTCCAGCTTCAGAGCCTCATTGATGAAATGGGATGAAAGCTCTTATTGCTGCAGGCAGCTGAGTTAGTTAGAAATATTATAGGCAGTGAGACAGGGCTGGGTCCTCAAAGGAGCCAGTGCAGAGGCCCAGATGCCTTGCAACTGTGCAGGAACCAGACTCCTCCTGGGCCAGGCTGCAAGACAAAGGATTAAACAAATGCATCCATATCCTAACGACTTATATTCTAAATAGTTCCCTATTGCGCTGAGGAAGCCAGGAGTCACCATTTTGACCCTCTAAGGAAGAGTCAAGGCTCTCTAAGAATGCCCATTTTCTATGTGATTGCTTCCCCATTTGTCCCCAATTTAATCAGTTTTGCCTGAACTATTAATTTTTTTGGCTAACTATAATTATGTCCCACCTCATGCCCATCTCCCTAGTGAGTTCCCAGTTTTCCCCCACCTTGAACCTGTCTCACTCCTTGATTTGGCTCTATAAAAATTCCTGGGAAAGACAGAGTCCTTGACACTCCACTCGGGACCCCTCTGTCTCTCTCAGACAGAAGCTTTCTTTCTCTCAATAAATATGTTCTCCTCTTAACCTCCGTTGTTTCTAAAATTCATTCTTTGATTTTAGAGAAGGTGAACTCGCGGACATAGGAGGTTGGGAGTGTTGCCCTGTATCGTTGTCATCAGAGGCTGTGTGAGATAAATGATAATGAAGGAATAGTTTAATGTTGTTACCCACTGGAGCCTGTAGAAGGATCCAGATACGAAATTCAACTCCCCTCGAGATGTTTAGCACATAGACCTTGGAAAGCAGACATTCCTACACATGACCATGCAGCAAACAAAAGCATTAGCAGTATTGGAACAAAACACAAGAAAAGGTTTGGTGGCCGTTTTATCATACAAATTTTATAGTTATTCTTGCTAACAGGTCAGCAGGTGGCTGTTACTGTAATTATCATTTAGCATGTACAGATTCCTGTGGGTTGAGGGCCTAAGGGAAAGCTTGGGATCTGTCAAGAACCAGAGAAAGCGGGGGAAGTGTTGGCAAGGGTCCTTATTGTGGATTCCCAAGGAGGCGGCAGGCAAGATGAGTAGGCACGTGGTCAGAGGCTGGACTTGGCCATGCAGCTGGAGCAGCTGGGCAAGACCTAACAATTGAAAGTTATTATCATGGGTGCAGAACAGCGGCACCTGAGCTGGATGTAGCATCAAGCATCCAATCATCTGCTAGGAGAACATGCTGGACCCAACACCCGTTGGCTGTGCTACAGCAAGCAATCAAGTGGGACCATCTGTGGCAAATATCAAATAAACCTTAAAAGTTCTGCACCAATTGACTTTGGAGACACTGCTCTCCTGTCCCTGCAGTGGTGCATTCCGCCTGCCAGGCTTCTCTTCTCTTTTCCCCTCAACTCATCCTTTTCTCCAGGAGAGCTCCTCTCCCTTTTTCTTATTTCTGCCCTAAAATAAATGGTAATTGTTACATCCACCAATTATCCTGGCCTAGTCATTAACCATGACAATAAGAATGTGTATTTTACCTGATGACAAGCAGGTCAGACATGTACTAATCAAAAGAATTTTAAAATATGGCAATGGACCAAAACAAATTAGCCCTCTTAGAAAACAGCTTTAAAGCCTTACATGCTTTAAGGTAAAAAAAAAAAAAATAGACTTGTTTGAATAGTTTCAGGGATCTCTGGGTTTAGAGGCTATTCCTAGTTGTCCAGTATTTGATTTTGGGGCAATTAGGAAAGGGCAATAGTGTCCAGAATGTAAAAGCTGTCCCTCCAAAAAAAAAAAAAAAAAAAAAAAAACTGTTTAGGGAACTGGGCTCTTGATTGGCTGGTTGCATACAAAGGGTATACTTTAGGGTGAATTGCCACCTGTGGGAATCCTCCAGAGTTGGGAAGGACAGTCTCCCCTGGATCAGCAATGACCCAAGATCTCTGAGTAGCAAAATAATGGAATAAAAAATCATAATTAAGATAATGATTTGAACATAGAGAGCATGGAAGTAGCCAAATTCAAGTCTCTTTCAAAGTGTGAGAGCTCCCAATCCACTTGTTTCCTGTCATAGCAGCCTGTCGGCTTCCTCACAGGTCTTACTATGGGTTATTTTTGCTTGTTTACCTGTTTAATGCCCGTTTATCCCATTAATCTGACAAATCCATCACAAGAAATTTGCTTGGTTTGCTGCTGGAATCCTCATTTCTGGCACAGTGCCTGGCTCATAGTAGACAATAAATGTTTGTTGAAAAAAATAAGTAACAAGATTGCTTATGTGCAAATGTGTAACTTGTGTACACATATATATTATTGTTCATACTTGTGTAAGTATGTGAATATTTATGGATGTTTTGAGTGTTATGGCTTGGCACAGCTACATATTCATCTCCATAACAATACCATACTCAAGGAAGCAATTTAGTTCCCAATTTCTGGCCTCATGCATTTAGAAGCTGGGACTTTGGTGTGGCTTCCAAGATTTTCTATGTTCCTCTTTGGTGCTGAGAATGACCTGGGACAGCAGTGTCATTTGGTCGAGGGTCCCTGAGCTCTGCCTCATGTTTCCCTGCTTCATGGTTCTTTCTTTCCTTCTTCTCCTTTGTATTCAAGACCCAAAAGGTGGCCAAAGAGCTGCAGCACAGCGGCTTATAGGTGAGGTCCTCCAGAAGTGACCTGGCTGAGCCTCGGCTCTAGGATGGCAGACTTGGAGACTGCTTGCTCCTCTGACTTGCATATGTATTATCATTTTGTAGGATGAAGCTGCCAGAAGAGTTCTAAAATGTATGCTTTGGATGACTCAAATTGTATTAGGCGAGGTCTTGCAAAAAAACCTTTTTTTTCAGGGATGTACAATGTAGGGTCGGTTAGGTCATTTATAGCCCCATCTTTGATAAGTAGACCAATGCTACAGATTAAAAATGACTAACCCAGTCTAACACAGCAGTGGAAATTGAGTCCTCCTAGTTTAACTTTCTAGGCATTTTGATTTTATATCCTGTGCATATTGTTCAGTATGAGAATGTGGAGAAGACATAATTTGCATATTCACAAATAACTAGATGACATTAGAAAACAGGCAGAAGTCTGAGAACTTGGCATATTATGTGTGAACATGGATGAGCAGATGAGTTACTGTTAGGCTGGCTCGGCTCAAGTGACCTCCAGAGTACTTCACAACTGGGTAGCTCCTCAGGTGATGTGATTCTCTAAGCTTTAAGTAAATAGGAATCTGAAGGAAAACACTCCTTTTAATATAATGCATGCTTTTTTCTTTTTTTCAATGTGCTTCCTGGAGGAGGGCCCTTTAGGCTCTTTGCTTTCCACTACTGTTTTTGTCTCAGGGCTTGTGAGAGGTACTCAAGAATGCTTTAGTTAAGGCTTTGTTTCTTGTGGGAACATGAGGGCAAGTAGACAATGTTTGAAAGTCTCCAGTTTACTTAGTGAGGAGATACGACCTTCATGCTCTTCTTTGGTGGAGTGAATCAAAAGATGGCCCTGAAATTCACGCCTTTGTTGGGTGTAGAAATACATTTATGTGTGTGACAGTAGCAGTCACATTTTGCACAGCCAGCAAAACTAGTGGCTTGGCGGATTCTCTGGATTTTCTGAAATTTCAGGAAATTATCACACACACCTGCCATGAGGCTGGCAGGTGTCTTCCTGCTGGTGACCTTCGGTGTTTGTAGTTACTCTAGTAAGTAGTCTAGAACATATGATATTTCTCTCCTTTTCTATTAATAAAACACAACTGATAAGCCTGCTTCACTGACAGTGGGATGTGGTGGAAGGACTTTTAGAATCACCAGAAATAGAATTGTTGGAAAGGATAATGGGTTCTTCCATCACCCAAGCTCTAACCTAGTGTGAGTACTGTCCCTAATGCATAGGAGATTAACAATTTCTACCGAAGTTCACTGAAGGGTATTCACTGTTGGACCCTGGAGGCTACTAGTCTTCCATATTTTTTAGGAAAATATGATTTTGTAACTTCTTTCTTTTAAGCTTTTTAAAGTATATGGAGTTGGGACCAGGGATTCAGCTCAGGGGCTCGGTGTCTACCTGGCAAGGGTGAGGTCATGAGTCTGACTCCTGGTACAAAAAAAAGAAAAAGAAAAAGAAAAAAACATGGAATGGAATCATTTACTGGTATCTCCAGGATGCCATGCTGGGTCTCCTGAAATAGCTACATTTTCTGTTTGCTTATATTAAAAAATATTTATTCAGGGACTACAAGTTTTGGGGCTTCAGATAAACATTGTATGAAAATTGTACATAATTCAAAGATTGTTCTTGAGGAGCTGACAGTCTTCTAGGAAAGATTAGACTTCTGAAAAGCTTATTGTGGGAGTGCATTACTGTAAGTACACAATGAGAAATTGGGCAGAGTTCTTTGGTTTGGCCAAGGGGTGAAGAGTTTAATGTCCAAGTAAGGATGTGGAAGCTAGCTTCTTGGAGAAGAATAAGAACTGAGCCCTTCCTTTTGGAAGAAGCCATTGTAAGTACTAGCAAGAAACGGTTTTGAATATTTTGTTGTTATTTAGTGTCCAAGGACAAATACTCATGAGCAAAGATGGTAGAGAAAGGAAGTGGAGGTAAATAAGTATTTCCCTATTACGAGAGAAATTTGGAGGAGAAGTACGTGAGAAGATAGAGGTAGGACACAGGAACAGGCTCCATTTTTATAATTTCAATGAGGAAATCAAAAGTTTCCTCATTGAAAATAAACTATGAACTATGAAAGAAAAATGAACTACCGCAGATCTGAGGCAAAACCAGAACACAGTTCTTGTTTATGTGTATACATTTATGTATCTGCTCTTTTTTTTGTACACGTATACATCTTACATGTTTTTCAGTTTCTGCTTTTTCTTCCCATTCTTCTTATCTTTCCAAAACTGGTTATAAGGATACAGTTGTTCATCTAAAAGCCTTGGTCGTTCCCTGCTGTTCTCAAGAAGAAAATTTTCCCTAGTCACTGGTATGGAATCCAAGGCTTTCAAATTCTGATCTCACTTGGTTAGCTTCACCCACTTTACCTCGGCTCCTTGTTACAGTTCATTGGAGTTCTGCATTCCAGCCTTTCTGGGAGACAGATATAGGGTTGTTGTATGTGCTATGGTCTCAGCATCTTTTGCTGAGCTGTTTCTAACATACTGTGTCTCCTCTTTACCTTGGGATTCTGATTTCTTCCTCCAGGCACCTAACACTTCTGGGAATATTCCTGAAGCACTCTCCCACACTGGTTAGTCATCCCTTCCTTTGTGGTTCCACAGAACTTTGTCTGTAGTGTTATCAGACTGTGTGCTGCAGGGCAGCATACAGATGTATATTGTTCATCAGGTGGTGTTAGGTTTCTGAATAAAGCATCCATGTTGCATTTTTGTATGTATCTGTAGAAAATGGCACACCTTTGGTACTCAATTAAATTGTAGCTTTAAAATTAATCAGTAGAGGGCAGTTTCATGGATTGTTATTTGGTTCATTCTTATCCCTGAATAGTGATTTATTAGGGCCTTTTGCTTTTGCCTGAAATCTGAGAGTTCTGAACAAAGCCACATACAAAATACTTATTTATTCAACCACTAGTGTCTGCTCATTGCATACCAGATCAGTAAGTGTGCAGTGCAGTACGGAACCAGATATAAATTCCTTGTTCTCACGGAATTATGCTGTAATGAGAAAATGAGGGTGATAAAAATAAGAAAGAGCCCTAGTTATTAAGGAAAGAGAGTTCCAGGGAATCAAAAAGCAAGTATACAATGGCCCACGGGCAGAAGTGCTCCTGAGAATCAAGATGAGAGATCCCATGGAGCTCCTGGCAGACAGGGGAAGGAGGCAGGTGCACAGTCAGGGCCGAATGCCCTGTCTCAATTGGTTTTTCTTTTGCCTTCCTCCTAAACAGTTTGCCCCTTCCTGTTCACGAAGTGTTGCCTGTGTTTCCAGATGTTCTTGCCTTTTGGACCCATTAAAGCGCCTTCTGCAAACTCTGGGCATTTCTGCTGAACACCTTGTGGAGGGACTGAGAAGTGTGTGAATGAACTGGGGCCCGAGGCTTCTGAAGCTGTGAATCAACTACTGGTAACTGCGGCTCGTGGGGCTGTTTTTCCAAGCGGGGAGCACTCAGTCACCCTGAAGACCCCCGCATTGCTTCCCTTGAAAATGTGGGTGCTGCCTTTACTGATTATTTAGTGAAATATTTAGGTGTTCCTGCAGTTGCACAGGGACTCTGGACAAGTACAGAAAACATTAGTCAGCAACAGAGACCCTTGTTCTGTGATTCCAGCTTTGTGATTCTGGATGAGACTAGACCACTTTGAGTCTGTTTCCCTTTTAGCAAAATGGTGGCTGTGTAATATGATAAATGTGAATCTGTTTTTTAAAAATTAATTACATCTAATTTGCTCTTTTTTTTCTCTTATTATTGTATTTGTCCTTCTGCTCTTTAGGAAGCCCTATCACACTTGTGACATCAGGATAAAGACAATGAAAGTGACAACAGAAATAGAATGTTTCCACTTTTCTTTTTTTTAAAAATCAGTACCGGGGATCGAACTCATGACTGCCTGCTTGCAAGGCAGGTGCCTATGCCACTGAGCTAAATCCCCAGCCCTGGTTCCACTTTTCTCGGCTGCCACTGACTCCATTCAGATTTAGACTTAATGTCCAGATGAGTTGGGTTCCCTGAAAAGAATGAATAAAGCAACGAATAGATTTTCAGTTTGTTCCATGTTCTTTTGACACATTTTGTCTTGGATCATAGACTAGAGAGCCTGCTGTTACAAAGATAACTTACCATTTTACATAAGACGCTCTCATTTGTCTCCTTTCCTTATCTCTAAGTTAAATTTCCCATTTTTCAACTATTCTTTATCTGATAGTGTTTCCAGAGTATTCACTTTTCTTTTCCAGTTTTAATGAAATGGTTAAGTTTAAGAAGAAAAAAGAAAAACACTTCAAAGTATTGTCTGACAAGACTTACTTCCCTGGTTTAGAGTCTACACCGGTGGTAGGGTGGTTTTCATGAAGTTTCCAGGTCATTTAAAGTCTCTTAAAGACCTTCTGCCAAGCTAAGCCTTCACTGTGGAATCTATGGACAAAACACTTAAGAACTCTTTCCTTTTAGTATTTTCCTGTATTCTATCACTTACAAAAATGCCAGAATTATCTTCCCACTGCATCATTCTTGTAACAGAAAACATTTCCAGCTCTTGATCATGGCCTTTGCGTTTGGGCCTTTGATTATATATCTAATCTCATCAGTATTAATTTCTTCATGTGAGTGCCAGTCCCAGCCACACTAAACAGATAACTATACTTGGGAGTATTAGCACACTGTTCATAGCACATTACCACCAACAATCCATGCTAGAACCACTTTATATATGTGGTTATTCACTGTTTTGTTTATTTTATAAATACTCAAATGTGAACATCTATTTTTCAAGAGAAAGACACAATGGAATCAACTAAACAGCAAAATTGTAATACAATTAATGCAACTAGTCATACAAACTTCATACAAAGCAAGAAGGGTCTAGATTTTTTGGTTTTTGATATTTGACACTCAAATATCAGTAAAGTATAAAAGTGTATAACAATACACACTATATTTAACCCATGATCCTTATTGTTTTACCCCAGTGGTTCTCAACTAGAAAAATGTTGCCCTCCAGAAATTATCTGCCAACCTCTGGAAACACTTTTCAATGTTACAACTGGGGGAGGGGTTTTAACAGACATCTACCAAGTGCAAGTTGGAAAATTTACTAAGTAGCTGCACATGAACAAATAAACAAATAAAAAACAAATCAACTCCCAAATATTAGAAAATGCCAAGGCTGAAAACCACTGCTTTAATCTCTTCAAAACAACTCGTTGAAAGAGTGTATTTATACATTAACTTACAATATTATCATTATCTGTGGACAAAGTGTGCTAAAATTTTGAAAGGTTGGGCTGGAGACACTGGTAATGGAAGAGCCTATGTTTAATATTTATGAGGCTCTGAGTTGAATCCCAGCACAAAAAAGAAAGATAGAAAAGGAAAGTCTTGAATGATATTAATGGCTCTCGATAGACTCATTATTTCCAGACAAATGCAAGCAGATGATATTTTCGTATTTTGGATGGGCAACTGGACTCGCCTAAATGATGTAGGGCAACTTCATTAATTTCTCAGTACTTATCTCTGTCCACTCTGTACCTAAAGAAGTATCAGATTTAATCAATTAATATTGGAAATGACCACTTCAGAATGTACTACTAATGATAAACATGTTCCACACTTTCCAAGAAAAGAAAATGTACTTTAAATATTCGAAGTTTATTGGACGTATGCACATAAATTACTCTAATGAAGCTATTAAAATACTCATTTGCTATGAGATATATATCTAGTCATGTTTTATCAATAATGTGTCAGTTTCGGGCAGTTAAGAAATTGCTACATTTCCCAGGCTTTTTCAAAATATCTGTTAGCATTTAAAAATATGTCTTTTGATCTAGCAAGTCAGTTCTGAAAATATTTTATAAAACAATAAAAACATCAGTGCTCAAGTTTATGTGTATGATGCTGTTTATTACACCATCCTTTGAAGAGCAGAAAAACAAACAATTATGAATGTCCATCATAGTACTTAGCTTAAGTACCATGAGACATTATTAAACAAGAAAGAAAAGCTACCGTTTACACTGAAATTCCTCTCCACATGTGTACATGTTTACATATGTTTGAACAGACAAGCTAAACATAATTGATATTGGTGATTAATATTGGTGGCTCATAGGCCTAGTTTAAGGATAATGGTGTTCAGCTGGGGGATTGCCAACTTTCAAATACATATACATTTATAATATAATTGCTAAATTTAAAACGATTGCTACTTTATTAAGAGGAATTTTGAAGAAAATATTTATCAATTATCTATATTAGAAAACATTTCTCTTCCCCTCAAAACAAAAAGAAATCTTGCAACAGACTTAAAAAGTTCATATAAAAAGCAAGGGCTTTAGAATCAGAGACATGTGTTCAAATTGAGGTTCCTGCAAAAGCAGTCAGAGTGGCCTTGGACAGGGTCCTTATAAACTTTCAGTTTCGCATTACAGAATCTCCAAAGGGAATAATAATATTTAATGCTTATACTCAGTGTGAGGGTAAATGACGGACCAGATGTAGGATACCCCCAATGACACCGGTTCCCCCACAGTGGTAGCAGGTTTGAAGAATCATGGTGCCATCAGTGTATAGAAAGCATTTCCAGTCCACGGTCCACTGTAAGCTGTCAGCCAAGGTTTAATTGCTCTTCCTTTTCCTTATCCATGTCTCCAAATCCTGTATTGTCTGCTAACACATGTGTAAAATATCATCACCGCTGAGCAGTCTCTGCTCTCCCACTGGGGCATGGCTGTCTCCTTGTCCTGCCTCTGTCGTTCAGACCAAGCTGAATGTGGTTAATCCTGTGCTCATGTCCTCTGTGAGAAGACTTGAGCTACATGAAGTCAAGAACCAGGGAATCTTCAACGTTGTCCCCTGTGACCTTGCCCGGAGGTAGAAGATCTATAGTTTTCATTTTTTTACTCAATACTAAATATAAGGATACGCATTTAAAAACTTTTTTATAGGTACTGTTTCTACTACTCACTATTTATGCCAGGAACACGGAGGAAAAGAGTCAGAATTCTTGCCTCATCAAGATCCATTCTAGTGGAGGTAAACAATAAAGAAAAATAAATCAAGTTTTAACACCAGGTTAAAAGGTGAGTGCTGCAGAGAAAACAAAAACAATGCAATGTTAATTAGAATAATCAACAAAGACCCCACCAAGAAAGTAATGTTTGCACAAAGACTTCAAGAAAAGAAAATGAGCCACATGACTATCTTTGGGGAGAGGTTTTCTTTTATTTTTTTTTCTTTTTCTTTTTTTTTTTTTTTTTTTTTTTTTTTGGTATCAAGGATCAAACTCATGACCTTGCACTCACCAACAAAGCACTTGAACCACTGAGCTAAATCCTTGGCGGGGAAGAGAAACTTAGGTAAAAGAAGAATCAAAACCCTATGGAAAGGATATGTTTGGAATAGCTCAGGACTAGCCAGCATTCCAAATGGCTGGAGTGGAGGGAGCCCAGAATTGAGTAGCAGGAAGAGGGAGGGAACTGGGGAGCTCAAGCAAGATCTCAGCCACCACTGTGTGATTAAAATACAAGTTCTGCTCAGAATGAGATGGAAAAATGGCAGAAAAAATGGTATGATTTCTCTTTTTATTTAAATATAAGTCAACTTTCTGCTCAGTATTTTTAAGGGGAAAAATGTAAATTCCATCAAGGGTGTGAGGCATGGTAGGAACGTTGGGGGTGAGGACGGAGAATAGTAATGATGTAAAATATGTCCTCGGGATGCGTCAGTTGAATGCTGTGTTAGGAATCAAAGCCACTTGGAGTTTTCACTTAGCCTCTACTAGTTTTGACCGGCGCAGCCCCCCAATGAGACAGAGGACGCTCTTGTTGGTAACAGGTAACTGCCGCTTTATTGTTGCGGGCTCTGGCTTATATATTCGGCCGTGACCAATCACAGGCTGTCACGAGGAGGCAGGGTTGGAATGAGACACGGGCTCTGGCCAATATACCCAGCTGTGGCCAATGAGGGGTTGCCACAGAGTCAGCACGGGGCGAACACGGAGTGAGCATGAGGTGCACACGGGGTGGCTAATTTGGAGAGGGATGTAGCGCATTGCGGAAGCTGACGTGGTCCTTAGTCCAGGGTGGGGTATGGTATGTTGAGCGCCTGCGCCCGACAAGTTTTAGTGTCTTAAGTATACTATCAATTTCTCACCTTGAGCCTTGATTTTTCTATCATATGACGAAAATAATGACTTGTTAACTCACTTCAGCGATTACGAAGTGATAACTCACATTGTGATTACGAAGTTACAGAGCGATTACATCATCATAAAAGGGCACTACCATGAAGAGGAAACACAGATCCTTGATCTTTCAAAACACATGTACCTGGGGGCTTCAGAAACGAGTCATGTTGGACAGTGAGAAAAGAAAGAAACAAAGAATAAGAAGAGGAAATGTGCATTAGGAAAACCCTCAATCTTTGGGTCACTGAAGATCTTGGATGTGTATTTAGCACCAAAACCCAGTATTCACTCATTGCCTGATTTCTGCGCTATCCATCCACACACATCAGGAAAGAGTAATTTTAAAATGTACCACAGGTGAAGATAAAGTCAGCGAAGCTCTTATAAAGCATGTTTCCCATGCATATGTGGTGCACTGGATAACACAGGTATGATAAATGTACAATCCAGGTCTAGATTAGCAACTCACAATCTGAAGAGACTTGGAACCACATTTGGTAGACAGAAAAAGTCTATGCTGAATATAGATACTGAATAAATTCAGATTTTTAAGGTGATTTTGTTAAGGTAGATGTAATATTTGAAATTGCCTCATCCCTAAAAAA